GGCGACGGCAGATATTGAATTCCATAAAGGGGAGAGATCAGTTGCGTATCCTATGGTGTTCTATACACGACAACATTGCGCCGTGTCGCACTATCGCCGCGGTGGCACGGTGCAATACCACAACGCTTTGTTGCCTCTTAGAGTCTTGGCGCTCCGTCGTCTCTGACCTAATAACTTTTTGGTAGATGATCTGTGGGAAGCAGCCAAAAACTTGCAATGTGCACAGATAACACAACAATTTTCGGATTCAATTCTAGGCCGAGTGACGTCTGAACTGAAATGAATAATTCAATTTGAGGTTCAAACAAAGCTGTTGATTGGCTCCCAGGAAAGTCGGGGGGGCAATGAAAAACGTAAGCATTGCAGAACAAAATAATGTGAACGACTACTTCAGCGAAGTGATTCAGACGTGGCATTGGGTAAACGACTTTATTTTAAGGACACAAGGCGTAAGTTTATAGGCCCGGTTTAAAACTGCAGTGGGCTCGATTGAAGAGTTTTCTGCCTTGGTAACAAGTCATAATGGGCAAGTCCAAGTCAAGTCACAAGTCATTTTTTTGCAAGTCAAGCCACGAGTCACAATAATAGCGACTCGAGTCCAAGTCAAGTGACTCAAGTCTACAACTCCGCTACTAGTACTATACGCTTTTACGGTATATGCACATACTAGCACAGTAATACTTTAACAACTGTCAAGTGATACCCAATGCCTGCCATTATTAACATGACTACATGACTGTGAGCTCTGTCGTTGAGTTATGACGACGTTATTGAGGGCTCTATCCACCTTAAATAGAGGCACCCCCTCATCGGTTGAAAAGAACCATGCTGGTGGGGAGTGTTCATTTTGTTGGTAACGATGCTACCGTAACGCTTGCATTTCATAGTTGTTTGTGAACCATTTTGGGCGGGTCCAACCAAAGGAGTCTCCGTTGTTGGGAAAATTTCGCCCTCCCTTGGTCCAGATCGGGGTTCATATAGACGAAGGGCTGCCTTTGAATTTTTACTTGGCTACGGCGTGAAATTAAGCATGACTATAGGGTAGGGGCCAGCAACAGCCACAGACGGAATCATAGATTTCAAGCATAGAGCTATGTTAAATTATGTAGGTCTATGATTATACAGCACCTTACACCGCGGAGAGCGAATAATGCGCGGCTTCGCGTGAATTACAACCGGACTATTACACGGCACAATTTTTATACATAGCTCTGTGATTTCAAGCCACAGCCATGTGATTTCAGACCGGGCATTGCGCAGACAAAACTGAAGTAGAAGTCGTGCGCCAAACGACTCGTCGTACGCTAAATATTTATTAATTTAAATCTTTAATGGGTTCGATTTAGTAGTTTTCTGACTTGGGTTGGTAACAAGTCATAATGTGTAAGTCCAAGTCAACTTACAAGTCATTTATTGCAAGTCCAAGTCAAGTCACAAGTCAAAAGCTGATAGTTACAAGTCAAGTCACGAGTCAAAAAATAGCGACTCGAGTCCAACTGAGTCCAAATTAAGTAGCTCGAGTCTACAATTCTGCTGTTAGATATCTCCGCTGCGTCACTTACTTGATATTGTAAAGTGTTTAAACGATACTTGAAAATCAAGATATTTAGGTATGTTCTTCGCTTGTTAAGGTACAACATGGATGCAACAAATCATCAGTTTGATAATGGACGGTTTGGAGGCCGAACTACATAAGAAGGTGCACGTCTTTTTCCGATTTCCCTTTCTGGAGAACACGTGGATAAGTCATTACTCACAGGTGAGTATACAGCAGGTAAGAGGCGTATACGTTTTGGGTCCTGGGGTCAACTTTAAATCTGGCAACTGGCAAATATTTTATCTGCCGAAGAGGCCTCATCCCCCAGAAAGATGCTGTAAAACGGTTCTTAGAGTTTAACACATCTGTAAACACTTTTATAGAAACTTTTTAAAACACTGTGTTTCACCAGTGAAATGCTCAGACTTGCCCCGTCCTTCTGTCCCGCGTGTACTCCATCATGCAACCTTAATAAGCAATTTGCGCCAACTCTTTACACCAGCATGGGCATGATTCTCTAAAATAATGACACCGATTTATTTTCATGTGATCGTTAGTATTTTCCCTAAGTTTTTCTTTCTGGCTTTTTTGCGTAATTGCAGAGAAGCCCTTTCTTTTTGTCAAGAATATATTAAACAATTACAGTATATAAAACCAAAGGCTACTGCGACTGTCCAGAGGTCGCCAATGATATGGAACACCCACCTTGAAAAGCAACCGTCAGGCATGTCAGTTACGTCTGTGGACCGTTGTCTTTGTCTAGCGCCCACTTGTGACCTTCGGATTTATGTCAAACTCACGGAGTTGGAAATAAGAATGATTACAATACCCAACTCCATGGTCAAACTTGGCCAAGGGGCGGATCCAGGGGGTGGGGTCGACCCCCTCTCCCAGAAAAAAAGGAAAAAATAGGGAAAATAACTAATACCATTGTCCTGATGACAGGGTTAGTTCGAGAAGTAAATATTGGCTAACCTACCCAAGTACTTAATTACTCACGCAAGAAAACAGTCATTCCCATGTTTAGTTTCGATAGATAAAAGAAAGTGATGTATCACAGGTGTATATTTGACAATGACAAAGGCTCCACTGCAAAAAGAAAGAAAAGAGGAAGAAAATTAGCGTCGGTGATTGAAGCACTTCTCTTCTAAGAGATCTCTTCCAGATGGTACTTGAATTGCTTCTTCTGCCCACCGATGTTACGGCGTCCAGTGGAGAGCTTACTGTAGAGCAGTGGGCGGAGAAGTCGGTCCTCAGACATGCGGCTGATGTGTCCGACCAGGCGGAGCTGCCGTTGAATGATGAGGGCCTGCTAACACATCCCACTGTTTGGAGGATGGTGGCATACGGGACCCGATCAACCAATGTAAGCCCGAGGATCCGCTGCAGGTAGTGGATGTAAAAACCCTCAATATTTCCAATGTCAGCTCCCTCGATGGTCCAGGCTTCACAACAGTACAACAAGGCAGAGATGCAGACAACCTTACAGACAGCAACTTTGGTAGAGATGGTAATGTCTCGGTTAAAAATATGCTTGACTTATCCAATTTTGGATCTCGTCGTCGATGTTGCAGGATGAACTCAGAGGGCTACCAAGGCAGAGAAAGTTGTGGACTTGGATGATGTCCTCAGACCCCACAAAAAAGGATGCGCCAGGAGGCTGTTCTCCAGAGGTCATACACTGGGGAAGAACCACATCTTCCTTGCATTAATGATAAGCCCCGTGCTGGTGTAGGTGTTGGCCATGGTATCAAGGATCCTTTGGAGGACCGCTGCTGAGTGGCTGACGAAAGCGGCATTTTATGCATACTGGATATCAAAGATGTTCTCATATCTGATCTTAGTCTTGGCGAGCAAGTACCTCAGGTTGAACAGGCTGCCCTGGAGCTGGTGTCGGAGTACCGTCCTCCAAGTGGAGCTGGTTTCGGAAAAGAAGAGTCACAACTACCAGGTACATGTTGAAGAAGACCGGTGCGAGGACACAGCCCTGTTTCACACCGACTTTGACCTGGAGGGGCTCGGACACCAGGCCCCGACCACAACATGGACGAAGGCCCGGGGGCTCTGCAGAACTCCCAAAGGATCTTGATTAACCTTGGGGGACAACTGCACTTGTAGACTGAACTGAAACAATAATTATGTCATCACGTCATATGATACGCTCTCAACGTTGAATTTTTCACAGCCGTATATCTTCAGAACCAAATGTTTAAATTTTGCAGCGACATATACCAAGCCAATTTACATCCGAAAGCTAAAGTGACATCATGATGAAGTCATCACATGATTTAAATAATTTTAATTCGCTTTATTACACCATTCCTTTTAATGTTTTTCCGTAACAACACAACTTTTTTCAAAAACCTTTTGCAAGACCTTCGGTAGGCAATGTAGATGTGTGGCTATACTGGAACAGTTTGTGACGTCATTATGACGTCATCAAAATTTTTATAACACAAACTTGGCAAGCCCCGATTGATAAAACTTTAGTTCGTACCTGAAACTTGTACTCCAGACGGAATTTCTGAAATGAGGACGTAATTACGTCATCATGTGGCGTATTACTTTTGAATGTTTCTAAAACGAATCGATTTTGTACGAAGTATAAACATTATACTGGGGGCTTAGATCACTTTGCAATACTGTATCTTTGTTAAGTTTACATGGTAAAACTTCGAGAGCAAAAAGTCCAAGAAGGATCACGTCGTGATGACGTTATCAGAGGTTACATGACACGTCTGCAAAGTTGAATATTTTGCAGGTCAGTATTTCCAGAACTGTGAGTCCGACCTGTAGGACATTGGCATGGAATCAAAAAGGATGTGCTCTACGAAAAATGTTAGGTGATGCCACGTTGACGTCATTGCACGTCACCACGAGGCGTACTCACAGTGTAGATATTATTGCAGCTTGTTACCGTTACAGCCATGAGTATGTACGCGTTGGGCTGGTGGTTGAGTTTTTCATCATATGCGGGTTTGGCTGCAGCAAGCTTGTTGGCACCATGCCAGATCGTGATCACAACGAACCGTAGGGTGCACAAGGCTCACACAGAATCTTTGAGTCTACACAAAGCCCATGGAGAAAGTGCTACTATGGTGTTCCATTTTTGCCGTCGTATTTTCGGATTCCCCGCCGCATTTTTGGATTTTGCGTGGATACCTCGATACGTACTAATTGGGGGGGGGGGGTTTGAGAAATAGTACTCTGTGTACTACAGTGAAAATTTTGAGAACTTTAGACGACCCCAGTATACTATTATACCATTCCACAGATTCAAGAAAATAGTTTAGCACTCCAGAATCATAAATTGGGAAATATCAGTAAGAATACACACACCTACCTTTCCAGCTGTCTAATGTCCCGGACTGCTACACCACCGCGACTTTCAGGTGGGTCAATCAACATCAGTGTCAACTCGACCATCGACTTTGGCTGCTTGACTAATTCACATCGCGTAGCAGGTACGTGATTAAGAAAGGTGAGACTGCGATCCACAAATGCGACGTCGATTGAAAAATGCGACGCGAAATGGAAAGATGCAACGCAATATCCAAAAACGCGACGCAAAATCCAAGCATGCGACGGCGATGACATGTATGGAACACCATACGTTACCAAAATTAGAAGGGGAAGCGATGGACAGCCATTAAAGTGTCTTAATCATCGGCGGGTCGCATGTGTGAACCATAATACAAACCCAAAGCCTTAGAAAATAAGCACCGATATTTATTCTATCATTTGAGTGGCAAGTCAAGACTTCCTCTGTCAGGATTGATTTAGCGTCTTTCAAAAAGTTAAAGGTCTTGTAGCAAATTAATGCTACAGAAACTACTGCAATAATCAATAAAAATGAATGATTAACACAAATAATGGCATTTTACAATTTAAGCATCCAACTTGTAATAATTCGGTCTAATTGATTATGATGAAATCACAAAGCGTTACAAAATGAAAAATCAAGGGAAATTACACACAAATCATAAAAACTGAACGATTAAACGATCCTTAGAATTTCACGGTGTTGCGAGTCCAAAGGGGCAAACGACTCCTACCGTCCTGATAGATGGAGTCTGGCAGGTGTTGAGGTTTGGAAACCCCCGCATCTTTGTCAAGCTGAAGAGACTTGAAATTTGGTTGCATGAGCCAGGTACATTGTTCCTTCCACAAGAAAGGAGGTCCATTTGTCCAGCGTTCACAGTCGACAAGTTGCTGCGCTGAAACGTGCCTCTTTAAGGCGTCATCTGTAGGGTTCAAAGCTGAGTCCACATACATCCACTGGGATGGGTTGGAATGCTCATGGATCTGGGACACTCAATTTGCGACGTACGTCTGAAATTGCTTGTCTTCATTGCGTAGATACTGTAACACGATCATACTATCCGTCCAGATTGCTGAATCAATGAGAGGAAGTTGAATCTCTCACCTGATAATCTCATCCAACTTAACTGCAACAACTGCCGCAGCGAGCTCCTGACGTGGGATCTTAGTAGCTCTCAGTGGTGCAAGTTTGCCTTGGCAATACAAGGGTGCAACAGATCTGACCCTCAGCGTCTACTGACCGAAGGTAACTGACTGTACCATAAGCCTTCTCAGATGCGTCTGCAAAACGATGCAACTGCATAGATGACGTGGTGCTGGCTGTTTTGGTTTTATACATCTAGGCACCTTCATCCTCTCCACCAAAGATAGGCCTTGAGCCATTGATGCCACCGCTGGGATTTCTCTTTTGGCATAGGGTCATTCCGCCTAATCTTGAGACGACACATTGTATGGAACAACATATTTGCCCGCAGGACAAAGGGACGTACAAATCCCAAAGGATCATGTATCGAGCTTGTGATGCTAAGTAACCCCGGACGTATGGCAGGCTTTATTTTTAACCTAGTGTCAAATCCAAAGGTGTCCGGTTCATCATTCGAGAGCACTCCCAAAGCTCTCTCAGATGGAAGCATCTCGTGGTCTAGATCCATTTTTGTTATGATCTTAGCACACTCTTGAGGTGGCAGGGACTAGAGAATTGCTCAACCACTTTGTGAGCCCAAACCTACCTAGGGCCAGCAAATCACGTAACTGACAAGCTAAGCGAACGGCCTTTGATTCCGTTGGGACAGATTTATCAAACAGTCACCGACGTAAAAATTCTAGTCGATGGTGCGAACATTTCTGCGTCATACCCCGCCTGAGAGTCAAAGGCAGTCCTCTTCAACGCAAAGGTAGCG